AATGCACAATTACTTTTAACCTATACTCGAAATTTCAGAGACACATTTATACTATACTAAGGTCCTATTACCCTTTGAACTTATTTTATAAGTAATTTTCTATCCCTTTTTGGCGTACGTGTCACTAGCTTGGAAAAAAAAGTCAACCAATATTGGACCCACAAAATAAAAAAGGGTAGAACGTTATTAATAAAATAAATGGCTTAACATTATCTTTGTACTTATCTTCATGTAGTGCTTCATTATATTACGTTTATACACACATCTATCATTTAATCATGATTGAGCTATATATATTTTTAGGTTAATTTTGTAATTACTAAAACAAAATTATTTGATTTGATATAAAGTGCAAGTATTGTCCAAGCAAATGGTAGTTATTCAAAGATAAGATTTAAAATGGTTACAAGGAGCTAAAAAGTCATTGATGGGGTTATGTTTCATTTAACTAAAAAAACAATTATTTGATATGTGATATTTCTGTTGAAGTTTAATTGATTTGAATTTGTGATGTATAGAGTCCATTCAAGAAAAGCATTTTCAAAAAAATTCAAAATTCAAAATCAAGACCTCTAATTAAGGAAAAAAAAATTCCATATATTTCACCATTCCCGCTATTAAAACTTTTCCATAAGGAAAATAAAATGTTCATTACTTTTCATGCTTTTTCTACCAGTCACGTCTTCCTCAATTAGCTTCAATTCCAAAGTTCACATTCAATATTTTATTATGTTTGAAAGTTTTTGTGTTAGGGATCAAGATCATGATGATCATTTGGATTATCATGTACTTTGACAACTTTTGAAAACCCAAACTTTTACTTTTTTTCATTTTCCTTGACCTTCAACTTTTATTTATAAATATCTTTTAAAGAGAATTCCAAATTTAAAGTGGTGTAAAATGAAAAATCAACAAGCTAGTCTAATTGACTAAAATATATTTTGATCTCTATTTTATCAATCCTTAGTTTTTGTGGACCACACCCTGGAGTTATATAGCACATTATTATGGGAAAATAATATATTTTATGTGGCTTAATTTGTATAATTAGTTAGAATTTTTATTAACAAGAAAAAATATAAATTTTCGACAAGTCAATTTTTGATGGCTTCTCTCAAATATCTCCGGAAATTGACTTATAGCTCCCCCTTTGTTTTCTAATACTTATCAATTAGCACTTTTCTAACTTATTAATTCTAATAAATGTTTGATAAAATAGTCAAAATGCGTGTAAGCTGATTAAATAATATCATGAATAAAAAATAAAAATCTTTGTCAAAAAAGTGATAAAGTTGATTGATAGAAAATCTTGAAAAAGAGAATGAGGCATGCAAAAGGTCAAGTCTTTAGATGTTTACATTTTAACAGTAAAAATTCAATAACACGTGTGGGTGTGTATTAACAATTAATTCAATCGCTTTCTGCCTTTATTCCTTACATATTGATCATGTTATTAGTATAATAGTTTCGACCTAACTATTAAGATATTATTGATTTTATATTTTCATAGCTTTTAATTTGAATCTTTATTGTTATTAACTTGGATTTCAATTTAAATGATATATCAATAGTTAAGTTTGTTATCTTATTTACATGACACTTCTTATTGAACCATTGAGCATTTTCACAAGCTCATCAATTATTTTATTATAAAAAATATTTACTCTGATATAACTTTTAATGATATTTATTAACCATGAAGCTATTGATTAATTTTGCGAGGCCTCTTGAGTGTTAAATCAAGAAGTGAGCCTACAATATAATTGAATTCTCGATCCTAATTTATAAGGTCGCTAACTTTTTCCTGCTATTCCAATATTAAGTTTGCTTACGACAAACCTCATATAAAATCTACGTTTGAATTCAATGTCTGACTCAAGTTGGATTGTGTACTTATCTAAGATGAACTCATTTTGAGTTGATTTCTTATATGATTACTCAACTTAAAATTATTATCTCAGAAAGTGAATTTCTTGATTAAAGAAAATTAAAAGAAAAAGTGTATTTCTAAAAGAAAATGTAATTATTAGTTAAATAACCATTTTCAACTCATTTTTAAAAAAAATACAATTTATATATTGCTTAGATTACACTTTTAAAATTACTTCATATATATTATCGTTAATAACGTTATTGTCGGACTTAAAAATAATGAAATAAACAAATTGAAAATAGTGTGAATTTAGTACGTCGGCACAACCCTCATGTGCTCGTGCGAAAGCTACTATCAAACTCTAACATCCAAAATGTATAATGACTTCTTTTGCCAAACAACTTGATTTTTATTATTATTATTATTATTATTATTATTATTATTATTTTGCCTGTGTGCATTCATTTCTTTTTTAACATTCTCAAATCTCCAACTACTTCCAACAAGGACGTCTAAAAGCGGTAACTATTTTTTTATTTTTAACTTGATGTTTTAAATATGAGTATTCTTAAAAATAAAATCGTCTTTATTAGGAAGTATATAATATTTTTTGACGCGATTCAAATTTAATCAAAATCTAATGTGAATATTAAACACTAAATAAAGTAAAAGAAAAATTAACTCTCCAACTAAACTCACCTTTGAGGATGGTGGATAATTTAACATTTAATGAAATTTAATAAAAAGATCTCGAGCTTAAATTCTGAAAGTGAAAATAAGGGTACATTTAGATAATTAATAGGTGTAAGTAGGCTTAAACTAGCTTGACATTAGTATTTACAACGGTTTTTTTTTATTTCGCTGTTTTTAACTAAAAATTTCGTTTAATTTGGGCTAATAGTATAGAATGATTAACATTCTTTTATTTGTTATGTTTTTACTTATTATTATGGTGTAGATTCGATCACTTGTTGATCTTAGAAATTCATTCTTTAAATGATATCTAATATTATTATAATTATTATTATTAAAAAGTCTGATATTTGAAATCTTATTTGACAAATCTAAATTTATATTCCCAAAAATGCCTAAAAATAATAAGGAAGTCTTTGGTTGATTATTATTGATATATACATTTAAACTAAGAGTTTTGGGGAGTTTTGATATTTAAATAAAAATAGCTAAGACCTAACTTCTTCTTTTAGGATTGTGTTATAATGTAATCATGTTGTAGTGTGGCACACATTTTGAACTATTTAATAAATATATAAAATAGCTTATTAAATTTGGCAAGATGCGTAATTATATATCCAAATTGCCACCTATAATTTGCTTCGACAGTTTTGAAAATATTTATTGTTACACTCATTAAAACAAAGAAACAATAATTTACGCAACTCCAAATTTGAAACTACCAACAATATTATGGACAAACATAGTTTGCATGTTGATGTTTTAGTTTATACTTTTTTTTGTCCCAATTTATATGTGATATTTTTCATTTTCAATCGATTCCAAATAAATGATACATATCTTTTTTGAAATACATTTCATGATATTATTAATATTTTATTCATAGCGAGTCTCTTATATTTGATAAAAGGACTATAAATATGTATTGATCTCCTATTAAAAAAATCATTTATTTTAAGAATAATTTTTAAATATCATAAATAATTCTTGTATTTTTCAAGCTCAGTGTCCATATCATTAAACGAAGGGAGTAATAAAAGTAAGAAATAAAATTGAATATTTAACTCACATAATAAGAAATTGTTACGGAAATGACCTTGAATTGGACCAAATATTCATATTTGGCCCAAACATAGTAATTGGTTTTATTACTTGTATTGACCCACCCAATTTAGTTCACACCCAACTACCCGTTTGAACAGATCGAAAAATTCTTTTCGACAGAATGATATTTTACTGATGTTATTATATTTTTTAAAAATATTTTTACTATCTTTTAATTAAAAAAACTATGTTAAAATAAAAAAATATATATTACTTTTAAAATTTATGATCAAATTTTTTATTATTTAGCATTATTCTTAAACACATATCCACTTTTGTATCTCTTGAGAAATTAAAAAATAATTATTGTTATCTCATAACATTGATTATTTTTAAAAAAATAAAATCGAAAAATAACTAATGTTGTTTCTACGCTATATATATAGTGGAGAATTATAACATCAACTTTCCAATGTTATTTCTACGTTATATATATATATATATAAATAAAAAATTATAAATGTTCTAACATTTACACATTTAGTTTAGCACTAATAAAAATTGCATAATTGTTTGTATTATCTAATATATATGAATTATTTATTCAATTATATACTTGGATAGATATTCAATGTTTCAATATTTTACTATGTAAAACATGCTTTTTACTTGTGCCCTCCTTTGAAATATTCATAAATAGGTACTATTTAAATTCTATATATAAAATAATAACATAAAATAAATAAATATATATAAATTATATAACATCCTACTCGATAATTTACATAAAATATCATAATATAAAAAATCTTAATCCATAAATTAAAGTCCAATTTTTCTATTAATTCAAAAAGTAGTACTCACTATTCCTTTGAATTCATTATAAATATGCAAACATGTCATAAAATTTGACCCAAACATTACTTCACCTTCCTCCAATTCTTTCTTCACCTCCTTCAATGGCAGAAAATACATCCCCTAACATTAAGGTAAGTTACGAAAAATAACTATATCCGATTATCGTTAATAACGATAAAAAAATTAAATATTTTATGTCATATATTATTATAAACGGATATTTATAGCAGCAGCATTATATATATAAATATATATATACACATACGTACATCATCTTCTTCTTTCATCGTAACAGAAAAATACATTTTCAGGTGCTACCAAGAGTACTAAAAACCAACAACCAACCCCCACCACCCAACCCCCATTTCCTCAAAATTCATGATTTATGTATGTTAGTGTACATGATAAATAGTAACAGTAGCATTACAAGTAGAATTAGAATCCAACTCTGTTTTTGTTATCAAATCTTCATAAGTATCGCCATTTGCATATTTCTTCTTCTTTACTTATGAGATCGTTTTTTCATATTCATTGTAAAAATTTCAAATTCCTTCGAAATAACTTATGTCCTAGCTATGTTAGCTATAACATAGCTACGACAACAGTAGCACCACTAACCACAACGAAAAAAATCGTTGTTATAATGGGTGCTACTGGTTCTGGAAAATCAAAACTCTCGATCGACCTCGCTACTCGTGGTTTCAATTCGGAGATTATAAATTCAGATAAAATTCAGGTTTCTAAAGGGCTTGATATAACAACGAACAAAATTTCAATCAATGAACAGAGCGGCGTTGTTCATCATTTACTAGGTGAGTTTTCCGGCCCCGAGTTATTTTCCCCTTCTGATTTCCGGCATACTGCTGATAACAGAATCACTGATATTATCAATCGCCGGAGACTTCCGTTAATCGTCGGTGGATCGAATTCCTTCATCTACGCTTTGTTGTCAAATCAGTTCAATCCGGGTGTTGATGTTTTCGATGAGATAAACCCGGTTCAGTGTATATCAAAAGAGCTTCGTTACCATTGTTGCTTCATCTTAGTCGATGTTCTCACTCCGGTTCTGAATCGTTACTTGTTCCAACGAGTCGACGAGATGATGAACTCCGGGATGTACGAAGAGCTCGAAGAGTTCTTCGCGAAAAACGGATTTTCCGATCGGAACACCGGGATAAGAAAAGCGATTGGAGTACCGGAGATGGAGGGGTATTTTAGGAATTTGAAAAATTGTACCACCGTACAGGAAAAATGCAGATTATATGAAGCAGCACTGAGAGAGATAAAGGAGAATACGAAGGAGCTTGCAGAGAAACAGATAAGGAAGATCCAACGGTTGAGAGAGAGTGGGTGGGACCTACAAAAAGTAGATGCCACGGAGGCACTCCGGGCGAAAATGACGCCGGGAAACAGCAAGATTCCGGCGACGGAAATTTGGGAAAGACAAGTTGTATTACCAAGCATGAAGATTGTGAAACAATTTTTGCTGGAGTAGGTTTTCCAGCTAATTACACCATATTTTTCTTCTTTTTTTATAATATATAATATATATATAATTTTGGTTTTACCAAAAAAAAAAACGTAATAGTAATAGTAAGG